GAGAGGAAAATGAAGCTGAGGATAGAAGTAAAATGGATGGACGTGATCAATGCACAATGATTACATGTATGGCAATATCACAATGAATCCCATTAAGGAGAGACTATGGTACTACATGTCACCAGCCTGGGAAGAACTAAAATTCAAACTTTGAAGTAAAGTTTCTACTGAAGACATAACATTTGTTCACCATCATGAAGTCAAAAATCAAAGTTTAAACTTGGGAAGCAAGTTTAAATTGGGGATTGTTTGTACCTTTTTTTGTGACCAATGTGATTTACCTTAGACAGTGTTTTATGTGCAATTGAGAGAAATGTGCTATTGGGTAGAAAGTTTCACACACACACACACACACACACACACACACACACACACCTCATTTGGAATAGTATTGTTAAATTGTATTTTTTCCTTACTGGTTTTTAGAAATGTGATATTCAAGTTTCCTACTACTATTATATTGCTCTTTGTTCCCTCAGTTCTATCATTGTTTTGTGTATTTTAATACTCTGATATTGGGTGAATGTGTATTCATAATTGTTTTATTTTTTTTCTATTTAATTGACTGTTTTATCATTAGATAAAGACTTTAATTATGTCTTGTGAAGTTTTTTTGAACTTAAACTTTACTTTATCTCACATGAGTGTAGTCACTTCTGCATACTTTTGGTTAACATTTATTTGGAATGTCTGTATCTTTCCCTTCACTTTTAGGCTGTGTATGTCCTAAAATCTGATATGTCTTTTTTAGACAGCATATTTTGTGAAGTATTGCCTTTCTTCGTTTATTTTTTCTTCCTTCTTTCTTTCTCTCCCCCACCCTCTCCTGATGATTTTGGTTATTGTTGGACAGGTGTGTTTTGATTCTTTTCTCTTTGCCTTTTCTATAACTATTGTAAAATTTTTATGGTTTCCGTGGGGTTTGCACTGAATCTTTTCTATTTATATCAGTTGTTTTAAGCTGATAATTTGTCTTTAAGTATACACAGAGAGTTATTTACACTTATGTATGCTTTCATGTTCCTGTTTAAGGTCTTTATTTAAGCATGAAAAATTCCTTTCATTACTTCTTGAAAGGCGGGTCTACTGGTGATGAACTCCTTAACTTTATGTTTGTCTGGGGAAGTCTTTATCACTCCTTCATTCTTTAAAGACAGCTTTTACAGGTAAAGTGTTCTTTGCTATCTTTTTTTTCTTCTAATACTTTGAATATATCATCTTCCTCTCTTCTCACCTACAAGATTTCAACTGTGAAATTTACTGAAAGTATTACAGAAGCCTTCTTGCACGTGACAAGTCACTTTTCTCTTGGCTGCTTTCAAAATTCTCCTTCTCTTCGACTTTTGGAAATTTATTATATATCTTGGTGTAGGGTTATTTTGTTTCACTGCATTTGAAGATTAGGGGCTTCGTGAATTAAACTATTCATTGATTTTACAAAATTTGAGAAAATGTCTGTCATTATTTATTTAAATATGCTATCCTCTTGTTTTCCTCTCTCTTACCTGTTACTCTGTGAAATATACACATGTATACTTGGTGGTGTCCAATAAGTCCTATAACCTTTTCTCATTCTTTTTATTTTTAATTTTTGGCTCTCCTAACTGGATAATTTTAAATGGTCTGTCTTTAGGTTCTTTCTTCCATTTCATTGAATATGCTATTAAAACTCTACTAAATTTTCCAGTTCAGTCATTGTATTTTTTTGCTCCAGGATTTCTGATTCTTCTAAATTTCTACTTCTTTATAATTGTTTAATTTTGCTTATATATTGTTTTCCTTAGTTTATTTAGTTTTCTTTTTCTACTTTTATAGCTCATGAAGTTTTTTTAAGAGCTTTATTAATTCTTTGCCAAGGACTTTATAAACTTATATCCCTTTGACATTATTGCTGCATCTCTATTAATTTCTTTGAAGGAATTATATTTTGTTGATTCTTCTTGACTTGTGTAGCCTCACATTGATTCCTATATATTTGGAGGATTAGTCACTTTATTCATGGTTTATGGACTGGCTTCAGCAGAGAAGAACTTTTTTAAAATAGTGTGTATAAAATTTTGAGAGATCTCACTAATCTCACTAATAAACTAGTTCATGAATGCACCCACTTCTCTCTTCTTATGCTTTGCCATTCCATACAATGTGTGATGATCACCCACTACTATTCCCTAGAACGGTGCACTGAGGTGGCAACATGATGGGTGCAATCTCTCCTGAAGGAGCAGTCTCAAACCAATAGCCGAGATCTACTGAGATATACATGCTACCTATCAAGTATGTTTTAAGGACACATGATGGAAATAGGACCACATGGAACACCTGTTTCAGTGGCCTATAGGCCATAGACTGGCTGTAGCTCTCAGTTAGCTAACTAACTGATAGGATCTTTGGAAAGATTGGCTGACTGGGTCCATGTGCCAGTTATTGAGATCTGCAGGGTGGTCTTGTGGGTACCTGACCATTTTGTTTGCTCTTAGTAATCCCCAGGTGATCTAGTTCTTCCTGTACCCTCAACATTATGGGTGAGGCTAGATAGAAAATCCTGTTGAAGTAAAATGCTTGTTTTGTTCTCTTTGTCTTGGAGTAGAACACAGCCTGAGAGGATGTCTCCTAGGCTTAAACTGTGTCAATTTGGAGGAGGGTTGTTCAGGTGATATGCAACTCTTTTTCGGGTGGCAATTCTGGGAACTTTTCCCCAACAGGTTATAAGGGCTTCCAAACTGAACGCTATTAATAAGCTATTAAAATGATTTCCTATGGATAGTTGTTTAATTAGTATTTCTCAGGGAGTGTGAAAGTTAGATCCACTTGTCATCTTGATAACATCAGTTCTTTGATTTTTTAAAAAATTTGTTTTATCAGAAAATTTCTTGTTTATGTTCAGAACAGCAATTTTGTATTTTGGATAATAGGTCTTCCCTCAGTTGTGTTGAGGCTGTTCGATGCATGAATGTGTCCAGATGCCATCAGAAACTTGGGAGACAGAATTTAGAAGATCCTCACTCTGGATCTTTCTCTTTTTACATTTCTACATACCCAGAGCTATCATTTCTTCATACTCATATTTGACTCTTCCCAGGTTAAAGGTGGGAAAATTTTTTTATGAATACTTATGGCATGCAAATTCCAAATGTCTCCATGATAAATGTCACAAAAATTATACTCTCTACAATTATTTTTTTGAGCCTGATTCCCATGTAAATAAATTTGCCAGCTTTGTTTAATTCTTCAACATTATTGAGTAGCTGCTTTTTGTATCATGTGCAAAGGAGCAGAATTTATGTGTCAAATTTCTTTATTATTTGAAGCAAATATTCAAGTTAATGCTAAAGATTGCAGTCTCTACAAATAATTTGTATATTCCCTTATTTTGTTAATTTTTTCTCTCTTCACACATACATCATATCTCTTTTTAAAACATGTTTTAGTTTTAGATAAATATATATATATACATATCAAAGATATTGAGGATTGAACCCAGGGCCTCACACATGTGAGACAAGCACTCCACAACTGAGCCATAGCTCCAGCCCTCTCTTTAAAAACTATAGATGTTTTCTTTTTTATTTCTCATACTAATTATTTTTATCATCCCATTTTCTTGAACAGTTTAATTAGGATTATTTTATTTTGAGGGGATCTCTTTTCTACATGACTTTATCCTAGAGGCTTACTTTCAGTTGGATAACTAGAGAAGTAGAAGACCATCCCCTTCTCTTACCCGGCATTGAAAGTCCAGCTTCTGGTTTTTACATCTTGCCCCAAGATGTAAACTAATGCCTCCAGATGTAAACCTTATGCCCCCAAATGAGATCATCACTCATGTCCTGTTCTGCTTTAACTTTCTTTCAAATTCTAACACTGGGATATTTAGGCTCAGGTATTATAGTATATTAGGGAAGTATACCTACAAAGGAGTTTTTCTATACTGCTCAATGTATTCTTTTTCAGTCATACACATGCATATACATACAAACAATATTTTTTTCTTTTTTCTATGTATAAATTAAAATTTTCTACTATAAATTTTTTTTGTTTTAATTAGTTACACATGACAGTATAATGATCTTGACATATCATACATTTGAATCAGATGGGGTATAATTTCTCATTTTTCTGAGTGTACAGGTTGCCAATTCACATAGCAAAATTAGAAATGCTGTAAGAATTTTATTTGTAGTGATTAAAGAATATGTAAAATATCATTAGAGTTAAATAATATGGAATAATGTATTTAAATATTATGAAATATATTGACACTCTGCTTTGCCACCACTTTAAATCATTTCCACCTCAAATTTCTTTACCATGGTTGTATTTATATCCCTAGTTTCTGTCCTGTCATTTCTTCCCTTCATTCAGACCATAATTTATTAACTGGTAGCCATTCAAGAACCCTGCCCATATTTATATTGTTGCGTCATCTCCCAACCTTAACATATTAGCCTACATACCATAGAGGCTTTTGTAACTGCCTTATATTAATATTTTACCTTATACTCCTTCATAAAATTCTCTTTTGAAGTATTTTGTTTTCTTCAAGAAACTTTTAATAATGTTTGCCTTTAAGAAGTTTATTGTGGATTTCTGCTTTTGTTTTTCTCCCTTTCTATAAACTCTAAGTATGGATGAAGTCCATCATCTACACAGTGCCTGACAGTCACATAAATACACTGAAATGTTTTAATTGCATGAATTGATTAAAATGAAATATTTTACATTGCATCAAAAATAATGTGTTTAAAATTGCAAAATTTGTGCATACTATATTTTAAATTAGTGACTGACATAGCTAATGTTTTATACTAGTTCATTTTACTTAATCAGTAAATTAACACCAATATACACATCAATGAAAATCAAAATGAATGATTATAAATTATACTTAACATAAAAAGTATTTAATTGTAAAGTTTTATAGAAACAAAATGTTTCAAGTTATTTGTTGTTTCTGTGTTCTTCTACTAAAATACTCTTTTCTTCAATTGTCTTTATTTTAGTATCCAGATGCTATAAGTTTGGAGGGATTTTCAGTTATTATAGCTCAGCTGCTTGGACTTAATATAGGATTAACATATGATGACACCAATAATTGTTCTTGCCCAAGAGCTACATGCGTAATGAATCAAGAAGCAGTGTAAGGCTTTTATTTCTTACTTAATTTCACATACACATTCATGAGGTTGTTTCTAAGATCTGATGAATTTTTTTTTT